CCCACTTATGGTTACATGTGTATATCTTAGTAACCGCTGCACCAATTTCCTTGGCATATATGTTAGCCTTGCCACAGCATACTAAATGTCCGAAAATTTTTAAAATCGGACAATAACCACGCCCACATCCCATATAACGGTAATTTAGAGAATACAAAGTCTGCGATAAATCAGTAAATATTAAAGCTAATTTATTAAAAATTGATGTTTGCAACAATTCTTTACCAAGAAATACGTTTATGGTAAAATTTTGGAAAATGGGCGTGGCACCGCCCACTTATGATCACATATATGTACGGTGGCCATCCATTCTGTATTATACAGAACAGTACTGTATTTCAATATAATGTTCTGTGTGAATTATTTTTTAATAAAAACAGCAAAAATGTTCTGTATTTGAAAATATGTCCTGTATTTGTTCTGTATTATAATATTACCGAAGTGCGAAAATAAATTTCAAACGATGAGCAAATAATTGGTTGCTACTTAACATTGGAAAATAACTATTTTCTATTAAATTGGCATCACTGCACACAGCACTTGTCACATCAGCTGTTAACGAAATAAGGTGGATAAACGAAGAAACTCGCGTTGGATGTTGATCAAAGTAGCCGGTGAAAAAGATCGATTGAATCCTGGTAAATTTTATTTGAAATACTATGAGAATTAAACTTTATACACACATATGTAGATAATTGTCAAATTCGTTGTTTTTAGCGTAATGCCGCCACGACGAAAATGCATTTTCAACGCGGACTTGCAAAACCAATATAGCTTTATAACTAAAACCAATAACACAAGCGAAGTGAAGTGTTTGAAGTGCCAAGCGATATTTTCCATAGCTAATGGCGGCAAACTCGACATTCAACAACACTTAGCGACGAACAAACATAAAAAAGCCAATATTGCGCTGTCGTCCAGCAAAACAATATCAAATTTTTTTCATAAGGAGGTAATTGATAGCAACGGAAAGAAAGTAGGCATCAACGAAGGCACATGGGCGTTTCATACGGTGAAACACAACCACTCTTTTCGCTCAAACGATTGCACTTCGAAACTAATAAAACGTTGCTTCGATGACAAATATTCTTGCGCTCGCACAAAATCTGAATCTATAATCTGTAACGTCCTGGCCCCAAATTCCATTCAGCAAACGAAAACCGATTTGTGCGTAACAGACTTCGTCACAGTGTACGTAGATTGTTCAAATCATGGAAGCACAAAACTATGTCCAATACTTGTCCGCTATTTTGCGCCACACAAAGGGATTCAAGTAAAAATATTAGAGGTCAGTGACCTGCCAGGCGAATCGTCTGACATCTTGACGAAATATATGTATGGTCTTTTAAAAAAATTTGACATAAATGAAAAACTGCTTGCTATTTGTGCAGATAATACGAATTGTAATTTTGGGGGCGCCAGAAGACTAGGCAAAAATAATTGGTACTGTAAACTTCAGGCATCTATTGGAAAGCCGCTTATTGGAATAAACTGTGCTGCTCACGTTTTGAATAATTGTATTCAAACATCCATCGAATGTCTTCCAATAGATGTCGAAGTAATAGTCGTAAAAATATATTCCTTTTTTTATATTTACACAGTTCGCGTAGAAGAATTAAAAGAAATTTGCGATACAGTTGATATAGAATATAGGAAATTAATGGGATTTAGCAAGACTAGATGGCTTACTCTGAAACCCGCTATAGAAAGAATTTTAAAACTTTTTAAGCCATTAAAAATATACTTTTTATCGCAAGAAAAATGTCCAACCATTTTGAAACAGTTTTTCATTGACCATTGCTCTGAAGTCTGGCTTTTTTTGCACATTGCCAGGCANCCAATGTACATGCGGGCAATTTTTATAATAGTTGTATTAATTATTTGAATCAATGGGACAAAGCATTCGTAGAAGTTGAAGTTTTAGGGTGGGTTCTTCTCCGCTCAGTGCCTTCTTGGGACCAAATAGAAGCAAGTTGTACATATGTTATGGAAAAGAGGAATGAAATAATTATAAATGATGGCGAACTGTTTGACAAATTCACGTGTGTCAAAAGCTATGTGACTTCGGACATGATTACAGATTGGTCAGATAACCAGGTGTTTGCAGCTGAGAGATGGGTGGGCATTTTTAAACATTTTAATGAAAATGATATACGTACCTTGTAAAAACATTTTAAAAATTGTTGGATTCGCTTTATGTTTGCCAGGTTCAAACGCCCCTACTGAAAGAGTATTCTCTATTTTAAACAACATTTGGACTAATGAAAAAACACAAATTAAAATAGAAACGATTAAAGCAATTTTAGTTACTAAGTGCAACTATGATCTCAGTTGTCTAGAGTTTAAAGACTACCTAAAAGCAAACGATGCTTTATTACAAAAAATTCATTCTTCTGAAAA